CTTTCTGAATTTCTGATATTGTTGAAATTTGGTAAGAAGTGTTTTTGGGACAATGACTTTATTCATCTGTCATATCTCCTCTAACACGGTGAATATTCTAAATGACATCACTGGAGAAACTGAACTCAGCACTGAGGGACAAGGCCTCTAATTATTAGTTGACAATACCTTTAGAGCAAGTAAAAATATATTTAGACAAGGGGAGAAATTGGTGAGCATCAGAGTCCCATTTTGCTAATCCTCGCAAGACATGTAGGGCTACAGAACTTATGAATGTGAGTGCTTATGCATGATTTCTGAGAAGGAAAATCCTCTACTAGCATGTGTAGTGATTAGATACTCTCTGACTTTGGATTTCTTTGTATTTGACTTCACAATTTTAATGGTATTTTGTTTTTCGAATTCAAGCATCTGTCTTTCCTTTGATTGTACTCTAGCTACTTTTGATGGAATATATATGCCAATTCAACATGATAGAGCCAAACAGACAGTTTGGCATCTGAAGGCCCTCAAGATTGAGGACTGAACTAATGATAAATGGGAGTTGTAGTTGGTATTGCAAAATGGACCTTTAATTTGTTTTTTCTTTAGAAACAACTGGCTTCTCTAAACTTTCTCTGGCTTAAAGAATAAATGTCTATCCCTGTCTCCCCTCAGCTCAGATGAATTGACAGCACATACAGATACTGGCTGCAAGAAGCAGAAGCCCAGAAAGAGGCCAATGTCCTTAAAGTGGCTGGAAGTGATGAAACAATTATGCAAAACAGAGTTATCTCCCTGTGCTCCCCCTTGCCTCAGTTCCTTACTGTAAAAGACCCTTATCCACCTGTACATGGTGAGAGAGTGGTTTCAGGCAAATGTGCCTCACCATCTTCTTAGAGATAGCTTTCAAGAAATTATTTTCCTTTTATCTAAATGAAGTACTTCTTTTGATTTGATCATCAGCAAGCAAACAAACCTGAACATAGGAATCTGAGTAGTTTGTAAGAATACTAAATTAAGGATACATGAAATAGGAATATTTCCCTCTGGTAAATTCTAAAAGTCTTGCCTATTGGATTTATTTTGAAGTAAACATATATCCATATCCATCTGCAACAAATTAAATGTGACTCTGATTACTTAGGTGGTGATCAGTATTTTCATACTTTAAATAAATTGCCTGTAGGTTATTTTCCTATAAAATTTCACTAATCCATATATTTGGTAGGCAAAGGACTCAATTTCAGGAATTTGAAGAATGCTGCTCTACTTTGGTACAGTGTTGCCTCTAAAAGCTTTGTTCCCTAAAGTATATCAGACACATAACTTTGTTTGCTCTTCTTATACTTTTAGTGTTGCAATAAAACATCTATGATTTGCCTGTGCATCTTTTTTAGTCCTGGGCATTGAACCCAGGTTCTCTGAATTGAGCTTTCTTTTT